TGAAAAAGTTAAAAGTTAGCATTTCCAAAAGGTCAATGAACAGAATCATTTGAATTTTGAAAGCTATTTCAGCATGGTAAGGGTCAATTCGACCATGACCATTGTGATCCTGGCCATATAATGATATATGGGAGTAGGATATAGTCCTGAGTAAGGACACTAGCGGTTACCGTTAGTGATTTGGTTTTCTGTATAAAAAGTCATTTTTCTCCTTCCCTACCCCATTGGAGCGCCATCTGGCGTTTGGGAAGTGAATCAGTTATAGTTATAGTTATAGTTATTCACTGCTAGGTCATTCTGACCTGTAGCCGGTCTTAAGATTTAATTTTAAAAATAATGAGCATGGTTAAGCATAGACCCCATTAATTGACTGAATCTGGTGGCTACCTCAGAGCTCTGTAGTTATATCTTGTAGGGTGGTTCTTCCATAATTTGTCCAGTCTATTCTTGAAGAGATTGATGTCTTGGGCCTCTACAACTTCTTGGGGGAGGGAATTCCAACTGCTCACTATTCTCTGGGTGAAGAATCCCTGTCTCAGTATTGTCCTGTTCTGTTTCTTTGAAACTCTCATATTATTGCCACGAGTTCTGCCAATGTTGTGGGAGAGGGGAAGGATATTGCTTATTGGTATGTCGTACTTTTCATTCAAAATTTTCCATGTTTCAATCATATCGCCTCTGAGACGTCTGAACACAAGTGTTGGTAACTTTAACTCTTTCAGTCTTTGGGGATAGTCCTTGTCTTTTAGGCTTGGTATACATCTTGTGGCTCTTCTTTGTACAGCTTCAACCGCTTCAATGTCCTGGATTAAATATGGAGACCAAACTGTATTGGCATATTCAAGATGGGGTCGTACCATTGCCTTGTAAAGAAGCAACATATTGGAGGAATCTAGAAATTGGAAGGTCCTTCTTATTAATCCCAGAATTTGGTTAGCTTTTTTAACTACCGTTTGTACATGTGTACTACTTTTCAAATTCTTGGTAACCATTACTCCCAGGTCCTTCTCACCTTCTGTTTCTTGAAGTGCTGTGTTGCCCATGCTATAGTTATATTCTGGGGGGGATTTTCCTATTCTTAATACCTTGCATTTTTCACTATTGAACTGTAATTGCCATTCTTGGGTCCAGTTCATAAGGGATCTTATATCTTGTTGTAATTCGTTACAGTCATCTAGGTTATTTACTTCTCTATAGAGTTTCGTATCATCAGCAAACATAATCAGAGGGCTGTTTACTGCCTGTGGTACATCGTTTACAAATATCAGGAACATAACGGGTCCGAGGACAGTCCCCTGGGGTATGCCTGACGTTACATCGGTCCATGATGACGATTCACCGTTAATGGTTACTCTCTGCTTTCTGCGTTGGTATTGGTTGCTGTTGTTGCGGTTTCCTGCTGAATCACTGTTCTCTGGGCCGTCAAATTCGTTTCCGGATTCCGCACCGAGGAAAGCTTTCAGCCACTGGAGGGCTGTACCCACAATTCCTAAGTTCTGTATTTTTCTAATTAATCGTTCATGCGGAACTTTGTCGAAGGCTTTTTTGAAGTCAAGATAGACTGCGTCAATGTTGCTTCCACTGTCTAGTACTTCAGTCCACTTATCTAGTGTCACGAGTAGGTTTGTTACACAGGATCGACAAGGCAGGAATCCATGTTGACACTGCGACAGGATGTTGTTCTGTGAAAGATGAGATAGTATTCTTTCTCTTATTATAGATTCCAGGATCTTACACACTACAGATGTGAGGCTTACGGGCCTGTAGTTATTGGGTTGACATTTCTTGCCTTTCTTGTGGATTGGTGAAATGTTGGCTTGTTTCCAATCTTGTGGTAATGTTGCGGTATCTATAGATTTTCTAAATATCAGGTAGAGGGGTCTGCATATTACTTCTTTCAATTCCTTGAGTATACGGGGCTTGATATTGTCTGGTCCAGGTGATTTGCTTACTTTCAGTAATTCCAGTTTCTTCATTATATCCTCCTCCGTGAATGTCCAGTCCTGTATGTAGTTATTCAGTCTGATATAGTGCCCAGCTGGTATATTCTCTTTATTCTCGTTAGTGAAAACACTAGAGAAAAATTTGTTGAGCTCTTCTGCTTTATCAAGGTCATTCTCTGTCATAGATCCATCCTCTCTTAGAAGTTGGGGAATTCCGCTCCGTGTTTTCGTTTTACTATTACTGTAGCCCCAAAACTTTCTAGGCTGAGATTTCGCCAGCTTGGCTATATTACATACAAATTCTTTAACTGCTCTAGAGACTTCTTTTTTGGCTTGATTTCTCTCTTTTATATACTGTAAATATTCTTCACCTTTCTTTGTGGTTTGGTATCTTCTCCATGCACTGTGTTTTCTTTTTATCTGGGCCATGCATTTTTTATCCATCCATGCTTTCGCTTGTTTTTTGGCTTTTATTTGAGGGACATTCTTACTGTAGCTGTCTTCCATTTTGGTTCTAAATATATTCCAGCAGTCGGTGACTTCTTTATCCCTGAATTCCCTGTCCCAATCTAAATCAGGACTAAATATTTGTAAGGTAGGTTCTAATTTATCTGAAATGTCAAAGTTCAGTGGGAAATCTCATTTTAAGCTGGCGGCGGAGTGATTTTAACCTTGGTGATTTTACCATAATTCTCTGAGAAATCTGACGATAGAGGGGGTTAGTGTCTTCAAGTTTATTTATCTCAAAAATTCGGTGGACAAACCATGGTAAGATTGTTCTAGCAGGCTCGGCGAGCCTCTCCCGAACACTTTGGTATGTAGCACCCATTTTTGTGGATGTGCAAAAACAAGCATGAAAAGCAACCAATACACATACTGCACATATATCATTCTTGTATGAGGCTTCTAACAAAAGCCTTTCAAGAGAAACCCATGGATTAGAGAGTCTATACCTCGGTGCAGATAAAAAATAAAATAAAAATGAAAACAGAAAGACGGGGTCAACTTCGTGTTGTAAATCAAAAGTCAACGGATAAATAAACTTACCATATTCATGCAGTTACAAATGATCAATCTTTTAGCTTAGTAATGATGTTATGAATTATCCCTATCACCGTCCATATAAATCAAAATATACCTATGTTTGGAGATCATCTTGAAATATTTCGCAAAATTATCCACCATGTTGTGTCACGTGGTATTAGTTTCGGAAATAATTTTGATACTATTTCAAACATTGTAATAAGGCACGTTCACCACTACTCGTTCTCTACAGTTTTTATAAAATTATCAAAGCTAATCTGATCAAGAATATATTGAATTTGTATCTAGTATCCAAATTATTATTAAACTGACGGATTCACTTCCTAAATCTACGAATGCACTAAACGAAATGAAAAGTGACTTGAAACCCGGGTGAAATAAAAGTGAAGCTTCCAAAATGATAACAATGCAATGCAATAGAGTTCAACTCATGACAGACAAACTAATAAAGTGCATCCTCAGCAAAAGGTGAAGACATTTGCACATTTCCCAAATAAAAAGGTGGGGTGGGGGAACTATTTTGGAAGAATTATATAATAGTACACCCCCCAAAAAATCACCCCCCAAATAAGTTCAGATTGCAGCTTTAGTATTATCATAGCCTACACTGGAAGATTTCTTATATTGTATTGTACTGCATTGCATTGTATAGTATTGTATAATATTGTATTGTACTATATTGTATTGTATTGTATTTTATTGTATTGTGTGTTCTATTTCAATTTCTGCAAAATATCATACATCAAATAAGATGGAAGGTCTGTTATCCACTCCCATCCCATCAATATATTATTGATTTTGTTGTAAAGGATTTTCAAGGATGACTTGTATACAAAGGAATGGGGTCAATATTTCAATGTACTAATATAGCATCATGTTACTCATGCAAGCCCACAAAAGAAAAAATAAATAATGTTATGAGTCAAGGGAGGGGGTAAAATTCCATAAGAATTTTTTTAACCATGAACACCAACTTTTATTTTGTGGATATCAATGAATATTTCATTAGATCTACTAAATTACAAGAAATTAAATTTGAATTGAGATGATAGTATCACCCCCATACTGATGATTATACATCATCCATAATTTGGATAATATCAGGTGAACCTCATTTAAAAACTCATCGAAATGGCTTGGTAGTTTGTTTAGAAGGCCAAGGATGGGTAGACTCAAAAATATAGGACTTTTAGATGAATTTTAAAGTTATGCCTTCTTATCTCATAAAAAGTTTCCTATGATAAGACAAGGTTGTCCAGATTAAGTCCATAATATGAGCTGATTACACTGGCGGATTAGGGCCCAGGCCCCCCCCCCTTGGGTGGGCCCAGAAAAAAAAATTGGGCCCAAAATAAATTTTGGGCCAAAAAAGGCCTTAAGGCCCCCAAAAAGTCGGCCTTTTTGGTCATTACTGGGCCTTTTAAGGCCTTATTTTTTAAATTCAGGCCAAATTTTGAAGAAAATGGGCCTCAAAATTTGGGCCCACTTTGGCGTTTTAGGGGCCCAAAATTTTTTTTTTCTCTGACCTGAAATTTGGGCCCCCCCCCCTTGTTGGTTCCCAGATCCGCCCCTGGATTAAGGTCATCTTAAAGCTCAATATCTGATGAGTTTACATTTTATGTCTGAATATACCTAGAAAGGTCAAGGTCAAGATTTTGCTTAAAAGTTATATTTTAGTGATTCTGTTGTCACCAGAAGATCAATATGTACAGGTCATCTTTAATATCAATATATGGGATCCCATGTTGAGAGTCCACATTTGATTTCAAGTAAAAACAACATGGCAAGTGGCAGTAGGTAAAAATCCTGGTCATAGTCTTTTATATACAGGGTGACCCTATAAAATGCAACTCATGGATAGGATTGGCTGTGATTCTATCATTATTGACAAAGTCATTCCAAAAAAGAGTTGCAGTTTGGGGTCACCCTGTACATAATCTGATATTTCAAAAAGGCCTGGTATGTGAAACAAGTGGTAGGAGACAATTATATACTAATACACCAAACTAAGATATGATATAAACATTGTTTGTATTTCATCATTGTGTACACATTATGACATACAGTACAACTGATTTTTTGGTCTGAGTATTTTAAGCTATGGAATACTGTTCTACACACTCAGTATAGTACCCTGGTGTCTCACTCTCACTTTGTCGTAACAGAATCCCAGGCTCAATAAGTTTTATTCCAAAAATCCAAACTCCTCCATAGATTTTGCCACAGGAGTCCAAGCTACATTGATTTTGATAAAGTTTCATCCTTTACAGTTTTAATATATTGTCTGTGTTGTTTACACATTCATATAGGTTTTTACTTGACATAATAATTAAGAATGGCTTCATAATGTTCTTGTTGTCCTGATGCAATCTCTGGTTCGCCATTCTTCAGTACAAACTCCTGAAAGTCAAAAAACACAAAAGTGAAGACTCATGAATGGAAGTTTCCTTGGCCATGTGGATTTGGATTGTAAATGTGATTATGATTCTTGAAAAGTGGGGGTGGGATAATTTGACACTGTTTATGTGTATGTTTCAGCAGTGGCTGGCATAGCAATGATTTGTTTCCTTGGCCGTATTAGCCCATACAACTGGTTATACGTTGAAGAGGGTTTCTTAATCTTCCTCCATTTCAAAACTTTTTAAAAAGTCTTAATAAGGAACATTGGCAATACAGATTCATATAAAAGGCTGTAAAAATCAAATCTGGTATACAGTACCTCACACTGTTCGAGAGTTGCATTTCCATCGGCTAAGTCCTTCCCAAGTCCACTAGTGAATGAACTGTATCTCTCCTGAAATGACAATTACATTTATTACAGCATCAAATCTTCCTGGAATATCCTCACGTGTTCCTCTTCTGGATGCCAAGGTGACATCATTATCAGAACAACTTTTAACCATACCTAATACATTTTTTCAAATTTTACACATTTATTAAGTCTACTTATGGGTACCAAATCTGGACCAAGATCTATTCAACAATATTAGTGAAGATAGTAAAAGGCCCATGTCTTAAATTTGAAGATTGTTATGCTTAACTTAACAAACTATATCTATTACCTCAACTAAGCCAGACATGACCTTCTCTTCAATGAGTTTTGCTGCACATTTTAGGCCACGTGCAAGGGCATCCATGGCACCTATGTGAGAGATGAACATATCTTGTAAGGCTGTGGACTCTCTTCGTACTTTACAATCAAAGTTCAGTCCACCTGGTGCAAGTCCTCCCATTTCTATGATGGTCTAAAAATCAAGAACATACATGTACATTTTTGTATCAAATTGTATAAATAAGCACAATAATGGGCAATATGGTATATTACTGTGATAAAAAATAAGTAAAGCACTGTATAAGAACATTAGGATACTAGATGTATGCTTGTAAATTGTATTTAAGGATAAGGTGCAGACAAACTGTTTTACATGTTATTGAGATGATAATCAATGAAAATAATAACAGAATGCAAGGTATACAATTTAAGTGTTTGCCTGATGCTTTCCTACCTTCATGATCATTGTGCAGTTCTTTATATCCATGGGAAACTGGTCAGTGTCCCATCCAAGATCTGGGGAGCCTGTATTTGAGTCTATTGATCCAAGCATGTTGTATCTGCAAATATAACAAGGCATTAACATATAAAATGTCACCACCTGCCATTTATTACAGACACCGACCACCCAAACACCAACCAATGAACACCGTCAACAAAAAAGTTGGGGGCTATAGCAATATGTCACCATTGTTAATGAACTATCCCCTCCTGGATGTGATATAACTATGCACAAACATAATATCCTGAGCACTGAGGTTAGTTCTACAGTAACAAAGATGAGGCTCTTCAAAGAAGTAAAGTCAATTGGATGAAAAGAGTACCAACACAATGAGCAAGTTAATTTTGTTCTCGGCCTACTGATTATTTCAGAATGTAATAACCTACGTTGTTCATGTTGTATCGATCTGATAAATGCTTAAATCCTATCCATAGAAATTGTTTCTACTAACTTGGCTGCCATAATGACATCATGCTCATAGCTGTGACCTGCCAGTGTTGTATGATTGGGTTCAACATTGATCTAAAATGCAAGAAGTATGCCTTGTTTAATGGTTGTGCTTGTAAATTTGCATCAAGTTTTGTGTCACAATCTCCCCCCTCTCCATCACAAAAGATTTGGGGTCTCATAAGAATGGACCTGCTGTGCATACTGTCCAGCAATTAACAGGGTATACGCAGCAGACCTGTAGTCAGAATTTTCAAAGGGGGGTTCACTTTCCAAATAATTCTAGGGGGGGTCACTTTGGCAAATTTGGCCAAAAATCACTCAAAAAATAGTCAGAATGGTGAAAAACTGCATGATTTTGAAAGAAATTTTGGTTCGCCCGAACCCCCCTGGCTACGGGCCTGCACAGTACATGGTGAACACAAAAATATATAAGTTATTTCCTACCTTGAAATCCTTATCCAAGCCATATGTCTTCAAGAAGGCAATAACAGTCATAGCATCTAAAAATATAATGAATACATGTTTAGTGAGAAAGTAATGCTGGGATATGTGTACCTCCTTCCAATCCATGTACCATGCCTGGATGCACTTTCTAATTCATATTTTATTTCTACTTGTAAGTTTACTCTAATTCAAATCCCTGTGAATTTTACATAATATTTCCCTGGATTTCTTTCTTTATGGAAGTTGTGTCACACATAGTGTTGAAAATGGCTATTTTAAGTGCATTGGCAAGTTATATCCATAAGTTGACACATTTTTTATGTTTCAAATATAAATTGAGAAGGTATCAACTGCACTTTCCACTTACCGTAGTCATACTGGTGCTTTGATGGTTCCTTCGGTTTGGGTTCAATCAGCAGTTGGCCTGTGAAACCAATCTTCTCTTTGTATGCTGGAGATACAACACTGTAGGTGATGCATAGTCCATATATAAAGTATTGCACAAACTGTACAAGTAAATGATGGGGAATTTGAACAAACTCAAATTATGGCAAATATCAAAAGAAATGTGATTATTGTGTACTCAGAATGGTTTAAAAATCAATTAAATGTCTTATGCCAGTCACAAAAATGATGACTCTAAAAACAATTCTTGGTGATGACATAATCAAAGCAGAACAGTGTGAACACTTCATAATGTTCACATGTGCTCAAAACCACAGGTTTTACTGTACAAAATAAAAGCTATAAATTTCTAGCTAAAACCAGTCATTCTTGCAAATACATACCAACAACCATCTTGAAGAATGCAGCCATGTGGTCCAATTCAGCTCTCACATCTGTGTTCAGAATAGAATGATATCCCTCACGACCTCCCCAGAATACTGAAAACATGTACTAAATCATGTCATAATGTTTTCACCCTAAAATCATTTGACACATCATCCCTTAGCAAAGGATTTCATTCTGTGTTTTCATTATCCAATATAGTATTTTGCACTGTGTACATATAAAAACTAAAACCTCAGCCTGACTGTCTATAATATTTTCAATTTCTAACTGGACCCCTTGTGTGAAAATATCATGTGGAGGAATATAATTTAATTACCATAATTTTCTGCACCAAGCTTTTTTGCAACTTCAAGACCTTTTTTTACTTGAGCAGCAGCATATGCCACAATGTGCGCATTTGGGTTGGTAGAAGCCCCATTCATGTACCTAGAACACAGATGGTCCATTAACAGTACATGTATTTAAAGAAAAAACTGTGGTGTCACCTGAGATAAAGCATTTACACTAATCATTGCTTTTATGACTCCCTGCATATTTAATGTAAGAGTTATTAATCTAAATGTAAAACAACAAAATAAACTTATTTTTTTATTTTGCCAAGTGTACTTTATTCAAATTTTAAAGGTAACATGACAAATTTTTGGGATTCATTTAGAGCCTGTTTCTTGAAAATATATACAATTTACCAATAGATTTGGTGAAAGCCTTCATATATTCTTACCTTTGATGGGCAAACAAATTGCAGGTTGCCCACAGTAATTTAACACCAGTCTCAGTCTGAAGCTCCAGGGCAAGGTCTGACACCTCATCTAAGATCTTATTGGTCTCTGTCAGGTCTGCACCCTCAGGGGCAATGTCCCTAATCAAAGAGAAAGAAGTGCACATAAGATAAACCTTTTTGATAAAGTTTGGGAAAGGGCTTTGTTTTTCTTATGACTGGATCAGCTGTGGTCTCTCTTGAATCTTACTTTTTCTGTGTTTTTGTAATGTCCTCAAGTGAAAACCTGAACTTGTGCAGATTGTAAATATGTTATTTCACCAGAAATTCTTGGACAATACAGCCCTGTAAACTACTGCAAAGATCTCATTTCAAATAAAAATATTTATGATTAAAACCTCCCAAATAAACTGATGTTTGATAGATAAAAATGGTTTGAAAGGTAAATTCTGTTGTAAATATGATTTCACCTAGAAAAACAAAGATAAATTCAATACATTTTAGTCAAAATTCTTTTTTTAAAATGTCTTAGAGAGTGACCAGATCAGCTTGACCTTGGATTTCTAACACAGGCCATCAATTTCACTCCCAAATATGGAACATACAAAAATAGAGCTGTCAATCAAATATTGAACTGCATCAAATAGAAAGTTAAATCTAGCTTTGATTTTTAAGTTGGTCAGAAGAGGCTTTAGTTTACTCAAAATTAGAGTTGAGGTTTTATATAATAAATGCCCAAAACCGTGAAATACCTACATGTTCTTGATAAATATATGCGGGTCAATGTGACCTATTTGTAACAAATATTAAATTCATATGATATCTAAGCAAAATGAAAAACATAAAAATACATGCAACACAATGCCAGAGTAAGATTAAAAGCTGATTGAAAATTTGATTGATTGATTGATTGATTTATAAAATGCAAATCTTGATTAGGTTTTATCATTGTTTACATGGATTTTCCACAGACATTACAGGGTGTCCAAAAAAACAGGACCCTAAGAAAGTTGAATAACTCGGTCAGTTTTGCATATTTTGCCTTAAAATATCAGAATTATTTAGTTCATTCAATGTGAATTTTTTTGTGAAAGTTTGATAATAATCTACCAATCGAGTCAAACACTACAGCTCTTTACAAAACATGCCCCAAATGTGCACCTCTCCTCTCTATGCACAATTCAATCCGGCGAACAAAGTTGTTGATGATCCTCCTACACACATGTCTTTCTGAATAGACAAGTTTGTTCCAAGAACAATTGCTACTGGGGCTTACATCTTCCTGATGAAGTGTTTCAGCATCCATTGCATTCTGAACAATGCACTGCCTGGGTGGCAATGAGGAAACATGGAATCATCAGTCCTTTTTGGTTCGAAGGTGACTGGGGACATGCTATCACCATGAACAAGGACCAGTAAGTTTTCACTAAGTTTTGGAGGTCACTAAGCACCAAAAGGGACATCTAAGGAGATAAGCAGTGATTTAAACAAGCCAATACCATCCCGACACTGCAAATGATATGCTGAAATGGTTTAGGCAATGCTTTGGTGGTCAGCTTATCAGTTGCAGAACGCAAACCATATGGTCAGCTCATTCGCCAGATCTAAATCCCCCAAATTTTTATCTTTGAGGATTTTTCAAAGGCAATGTGTATACTGACAGGTCCCTAACAATCTTAAGAGGGCAATAACTACCCCAATATTTACTATCCACATTAATGGGTATAGGTCAGGGTCATTAACAACTTTGTTCGCAGGATTTGTTTGTGCATAGAGAGGAGAAGTGCCCACTTTGAGCATGTTTTGTAAAGTACTGTAGTTTTTGACACAATAAACAGATTATCATCAAACTTTCATAACAAAATTCACATTGAATGAACTAAATAATTCTAAAATTTCAAGGTAAAATATGTAAAATTGACAGAGTTATTCAACTTTCTTACGGTCCTTTTTTTGGACACCCTGTACTTGCAGGTCCTTGATAATGAAAAAGAACTAATGAGACTTTCATATTAGCTCATTGCAATATTGTTAGTATACAAGTATTTTGATGGGAGGGGTCTATTTAACAAACTTAGTATTGCAATTGCTTTAATCCATGTATGTCCATTTTCACTTCTCTTCCTTAAAACATACCTAGTTTGGGAAATGAATAATGGGGTATGGTCAGGGGAAGAGATGTATACAAGATTACACATAAATCAGGTAATACTTTACCTATCGTGGAAGCACCAGTACTTTACTCCTAGTTTAGAAAAGAACTCAAAACCTGCTCGTAACCTTCTCTTGGCATTGTCTATGGTGTTTGAGTTGTCTTCCCATGGTCTGATCAATGTGGGGAAGCCAAATGGGTCGGCACCTGCAAAGTCAGTAAATTACAACATTAACATGGAGCTCGAATTCTCATGGCTCTCATATCAAAGAAAGTTCCATTTTTGAGAAGATCCAAAACAATAGAACTTAATACAGTAGTCCTTTCTGATATACCCATGCTATTCAAAACCTATAAACTTTGCGACTTACAACCTATTACATCATGAACTCAACTTGGAACTTTTGGAACTGATATTTTACTCTAGTTTCCTTGTTTTTTTATTTATTCTTTTTTCTTTATTCCAGTTAACATTTTGATGATGTGATATGATAGGATGTCCTATCTGCATTACCTGTGCCTCTGAAAGTGTGCCAATAGCATACTGAAAATCTGCACCACTCCTCCATGGTCCTCCCACACACCACCTCACTTGCATTGTAGTGTTTGAAACATAGAGTGTCGCTAGGACCAGAGTCAGGTTTGTATTGTATCTTTTCAATACCTGAAACATTCAAGTTACTGTTGTCAGATTTCATAAATATTATTATACTGTAAAAGGTGTAAAGAATGTTGCATTTAATCAAACTAGTATTCTCTTTTAATTTTATGATATTTGATTTGATGTTAAATGCATCTTTAACATAATCAGGCCTGTCCTAAGGGGGATTATGTTGGGGGTGACCAACCCCCTTTTACGAAATTTCTTTTTAAGATTTGGAGATAATGTTGCAAATATGGCTCTCAGATAAACTCAGAATGCACGAGAGAAGGTCTAAAATATTTTCAGGGGGGCATGCAGCCAGCTTTGCGTAGCCGCGAGCCTAGTGTGTCGACAGCACAACCCATCCATATGGAAAAGTCATCCCCCTTCAGAATTCCTTCAAACAGGCCTTCATAATTGTCTCTTTGGTCTTCTAAATGCATGACATCAAACTATTCTTGGTATGCAGGAATAGGCACAGATGGATCAATAATATCATATCAATATTTATTTCAAGTCAGATATTTTTTGTACAATAAACATCAGCGCAAGCGCTAATGACCGACATAAATAAGAAATAGCCTAACAGGGTTGGTTTGATCCATTTGGAGTGATGCTCTGATCTACTGCTAAAATTGTACATCAAAACATATCAATCCAGAAAAGAAATAGCAATACCAAAATAACCTCAATATATGTAAAAAGACATTCATACCAATCACCAACCAATGTTTTTGCAGCACTAACTTTGTAAAAAAATCAACACCATAAGATTTGCATTTCTGGGGAGTCAAACTAAACTTTTGCCAGACATGGAAATAACTTATTTGTGTCATTGGATTATTCATAACCTTTAAACACACCCCCTCCATTATATGCACAATCCCACAGTCCAAAGTGTTACAGTGACCTGTGAAAATATAAACACCTACTTACCAGGGAAAAATACTTTCATATCTGCAAGGTTGGCGGATTCTCCTCCCTTGGATGCTGGTGCAAAGGATGACATAATGAATGTAGAGTTGCAGACCTGTGTGCCTCTCAAACTCCAGAGAAATAATGTGACAATAGACCTGTGTGCAGAAATAAGTGAAGGGTAAGTGAAGTAGGAGTATACAGTGATAGTACTGTACTGTGTATGGTAAGTGCATACATGTAAAGTCGCCCAAAACAAGATCATCATGCTTTATTATTACAAATAACAGTTGAATAGAGAGGAATAAGCAAGGATTAAAATGAACATTTATAAAATAAACACTCTAAATTGTATAGAAATCTAAGAAAATCAGACACTTCATTGAGCTTTATGAGAAATCTGAGTGAAATAAGCTTGAACAAGTTGACATTTTTAGTAAGGGAGTCATAGGGTAAAGTTGACATCTGATATCTAGGAGTGCAGGTTAACAGTGCTGGTAAATAAACATATGATATCAATTAACAATGATTGGAGATGGACAAGGTCATTATTGAGGCATACACTAACTATTATGACATCATTGGTTTTCTAGCAGATTGTTCAGAGTATAGAAAATCCTGCCAAAGTAGAGGAGTCACACCATTGGATATTTTGAAAGCATTTCGAGCAACTCTGAAACATTTCTCTGAAACCTAATATTCCAAATCCTGTACTCCCAACACCCATTACTCAAAAACCCAAATATTCCTAGACCTTTAAATAACATAAATACATGTACTTTGTTTTAAACCAGTTAGTGAACATTTTGCCAGTTATCTTATATTAGATCGAGTGATATTTACGTTTAGAACGTTATGGTCACCTTGACATTAATATCGCATTGACCTAGCTCTTTTATTTTTTCTCTTTCTCTTGTACCTTTATGACTTTTGAACAGGTTTTTAAAATCATTCCTTTTTTCTGCCTTCATGTATTCTGAATATTTACATTTTCAACAATTTTCAAGTTTAATATTTATAACTTTGTGTCTTGCTTTTTTCTAATGTTTGAAGATTCCTAATTAATTATTTACAATAAACAAATGTTTAAAATCACAAGTACAAGATTTACATTGTTCATAATTAACCCTTTAATGTTTTTATTTGTTTATCTTGATGACATCTGCCAGGAACGGCATGGCGAATGATTTGAGACAGTTATATCTTTGACAATTACTTTACTCTGACAATATCATTAAAATTAATGTTTTTTTGGATGGAAGGGAAAACATCTTACTTGAAAAACATTATTTTGATAAATTATCTCAGAAAATACTCATTATCATAGATATTAAGTCATTTTTCATACCATACCACCTTACCATACCTAGCCCTTTAACAAAAATGCTGAGAACCTTAACAGACCCATTTTTTAGTTTTAATGGTTTCTTCATAACAATACATGTATTTGTAATAATACAAATGAACAGGGGACTTGAAAAGTCTGGTGCATTAATTGTCTGTTGTTTAAGCCAAAATATTTTATTTTTGTGTTGTCAACACCCGAAAGGAAGGGGTGCTGGAAAATATGACCAGTAAATATTAATTAAAAATCACATTTTGTGTATTAAATAGAATTTCTCATTTTCTTTAAAAATGAATTCTCAGAATTCAGACTAGTTTGCCTGTAAATAAAGATTTTTCTCACTTTCAAACAATTTAATAAAAAATACTCCACAAAGGCCATTAAAGAAAAATAGCTAGTTGCACTCTCATTTGATCATTTGATTCATTTGAAGTATTTTCAATGTTTTCTTACAAGTCAATCAAAACATTCTTTCCATCCCATTGTCACCAACACATCAAATTCTTACAGATTGCCAGATATAGCTTTTCTAGAATATGGATTAAACCACCAATAATTTGGGATTTTTTAAGCATGCATAAATGATGATGATTTTTCATTTTATGTAGATGTTACTTGATAGAACATAGATATAAATACAATGATCAATGAGCAGGTTTAGATTTAATCTGATCATTAGTGGAGAAAAAATCAAATTAAAATTGTAAATACCGTATGACTGAATGTACAGGTCAACATGGCCATATCTGGAGGGTCAATATGGGTTTTGTGTGACCCCTACCCTCCCCCCCTTGAGTCTTGCCTCGTCACTTTTCAGAAAGATAGGCCTGTCATCTTTTTTAATTTGCTTAAAAAATGTTTTGCCTCAAGTTATTTTTGACACTTCCCCCTGAGCCCTCAATACATGTGAATGTGTATATTGCAATTAAAATAGGAAATTAATATTTTATGATTGCACATTATCTAAATTCATACCAGCCTAAGCTAAGCGCAGATCTATAAACAAAATTAATGATTTGAAAAGTTGTGTGATAGGTACAATAAATCATTATCACCGAGTTTTAAAATCAATTGCAATTTTTAGCCAATAAAAGCATTTTACTAACAGTGATCATATCTGAAGATAGCATTAAATATACAGATGAATTGGAGAATGAAGTAACAATTCTAAAGTCACAATCTAAATATGAATGAATTTAAAGCCAGTATATCAAAGTTTTATTTTCAAATATTATGGGGAAAATGGAGATGTATATTTTAATCATGGCAGAACACAGTGTTCAAACAATGGCTATTGCTGAAAGTCGGCGCAATAGCTCGATAGAGTAAATCAATAATTACATGCAATGTGTGCCATCTTCTGAAAGATTCAATTGATGATATATTTATGGCCATTTCATTAAACAACAACATCATACATGTAAAAATAAACTTTTAAAATACAAGGCACGAATATCAACATGTTAATATTAAGGCTCTACTTGATCAGACATTAAAATGGGATTATGATAAGTGGAACATTGCTAACAAAATAGGCGACTTACTTTTCTAATTCCTGGAGACAAAATTCAACCGGTAGATTCAAATTTGGCACCAAGTAAAAAACAGAGTGACAATTTAGTGGTTTCTCGGTGATTACAGCGTCAGTGAGGATGTACGTCACACGGATGCTTAAACAAAGCAGTTACATCTCTGTTCCTGTGACTATATGGATCTTCCTCATCCTGTACAAATTTCACGGTAGACATGTCACCCAGTTGTCAGCTGAAACAACACAACATAGAGATAGTAAACTACTGTCAGATAAGATTTGGAGAAAGACAAGCTTAAAGAAAACACCATTAGGGATAAGGAAACCAAATACGAGAGAAAGATCTATAGAACTGAAAAATATAGATAATGATAAGTCAAGCAAGCAATACCCTACACTAAATGTGGAAGGTCACGGGCGTGTTCAAAAAGATGACCCTAGATTGAATGTGCAGTTAAAACAACCAGTGCAGAATGTATTCTTTCTAAAGACCCACAAAACAGCCAGTTCTACTGTACAGAATATCTTCATGAGGTATGGAGACAACAGAAACCTGACATTTGGTCTTGCAAAATCAGGCAATTTGTTAGGATACCCTTTGAATTTCAAAAAGGATGTTTTATCACCACTTACAATTGGCAATGAGTATAACATTATATGTCACCATTTGAGGTATAATAGGAATATCAAACAAATAATGCCTGAAAATACCAAGTTTATAAGTATTGTAAGAAACCCTTTCCATCAATTTAGATCAGCGTTTTACTATTACCTATTCCAAAGTCCTATGTGTTATAATATTGCATCAAACTATAGTTTGAAGACATTCACAGAGGCAACAAGGAGATTGAAAGAGAGGATATGCGGGGTGCCAACAAGGAATATAATGATGTATGACTTTGGTATGGACTTTCCTGATATGAATGATGAGGCTCTAATTCAACAGAAAATACAGATGATTGATGAAGACTTTGACCTTATTCTTATAACAGACTATCTAGATGAGAGTTTAATTCTCATGAAAGAACTACTGAATTGGAAAATAGATGATATTGTATCTTTCACTAAAACATACTCTGCATATAATAAGTCGAACATAATTACACAATCCATGGCAACTTCCATGGTTCGATGGAACTATGCCGACCATTTACTATTCAAGCATTTTAATGATTCACTATGGGAAAAAATTGATGTTTATGGAAGGGATCGCATGAATAAACAGATAAGTGTTTTGAGGAACAGACGTCATCAATTGGAATCATTTTGTATAAAAAATATGTCATTTATTGATGAAATTGAAAATATTGATTTTAAGCCGACAAATAGAATGGACATTACACTAGGATATAACCTCAATGTGTTTGCCAAGGGGAATAGGACGTGTAATCAGCTCGCAACAGATGAGGTCCCATATACTAAGAAACTTGGCGCTAAAATGAAAAAGCTTGGTAGATTTTCCCATCGTTTAGGAATCAGAAACACAGATGATTTCCACCTTAACCCCAAGAGATGAAAATAAAAAAAAGATAAATCTCAAAGTTAGTTTTGTGGGAACAGGAGGGAAATACTTACTTTGGTAGAAGCTTTTTGTAATTACCAATCTTAAAAAATCCACATTCATTCAGGTAGAAAGTGAATTAGTTGCCTAAACTAAGTGAAAGGTCTGTGCCAAAGTATACTATATTGATGTTCTTTACAGATCATGACACATCAAAATTAATGGTTATGGCCTTAAGGGTTAATTACAATTTTAACATGTTATTAGTACTACAATGTATATGAAAATGGTATATCAATTTGATTTTGTCAATAATGTACCAATAAGAACCAGGCTTGTCAAATCTTCTTTTCAATAAATATTCTCACCATTACAAGAAACAAGGTATTTTTGGTCAAGAGTTTTGACCAGTTTAGTGAAGTATTTATCCAATTTCATGAAAATATAAACTTTAAAAGTGTTATCTCACATTATTTGTATCTGGAAAATATGTTGTACATGTAGTTATAAAGGCATTGCTTCTTTACCATGATAAGTGTATAAAACTCAACGTGATTAATGTACAAGGTATTCAAAATAATCATAATTGTTAAAAATAAAGTTTTTTCATCATATTACAATAAATCAGGGAAGAATATGTATAAGTGTACATGCATTTTAATCTTCTGACAACATAAAATCAAGCAAACATTGTTAATTTCATGGTTAGATTGTAATAAGAACCACAACAATGAACATGCAGAGATGATAAGTAATAAACAAAAATTAAGCATATTATTCAGATAAAATCAACTATTTTTCCAAATTGGATTACAATAGCAGGCCTAGTGTGTCACAGCAGACTCACATGTTCTCGAAAATGATAGAATAATATCTCATAAAAGATAAAACTGTAATGACTTGAATTAACTAAGACAACACGGTACATTTTTTCAATGACTGTAAATATTTATTGGATAAGCTTTTGTAGGTTACAAATGATGATGTTTAATTTGGCAATCGTTTTTGTCTAATGTAAACAGATTAATTACCTAAATCCATGCATGACTATCGATGGTGATGATGTTGATAGTAAACAGAATAAAATATCCATTCATAAAAATTATAAATTCTCATTGATCATATAAGGGTGAAGAAGGATTCACTAAACTAATTAATCTAATTAATAAAATTATATTCTAGTATACATCTGTATTAGTTATCCATAAAAATGCATCTGTGCATTAATGTTCTTTTCTAAACATATCTTATATTATGGACAACCAAAAATGAAAGGAAACTCTTACTTAACTTATTTATTTATTTTCACTTTCACTTTTAACATGTAGCAAATAAATAAAATAAATAAAAAAAAATTATTTCATTACTTACACTTGAAATTGAATTAACCATATTGCTCTAACTTGAATCAAGGAAAAATTCACAATATATTGTTAAAGAATTTTATTACTTTACAATTTAGGAAGAAATTGCCTAAAAAATGAGGAGGTACCCTCGAAGTTCCCTTTCTATTTTTTTCATGTCCATGATATTAATGAATAATGTGATCCCTGATGTAACTTGGAACTGATTGTCTTCAAACCTTAGTCTGGACTGAATGAAATATCTATAATATCAGTAAGGTATTATAAGCCAATATGAAAAGTTACTCGGACTTAATTTTTTGTCTACCTCTACAGCAACACTTAAATATAACCATCCTACAGCAACAAGTTAGTAACAGTGACACAATGCCCAATCCCAGCATGACAATGCACATAACATCCAGAAGAAGTAGCTGGTATAAAGGCATGTCAATGGAATGAGACTTGAGATGGTCAGAACCATACTTCAATACATGCCTCACCCAGCGTGCAACTTTCTCCTGGGCAGGCGTTTGCTCTTTTACAATAGCAGAGCAGCGCTTGATCTTGCTCCTGAACGTGTCATTAGTTGTGAGTTCAATCAAATTTTGTATAAGGCTTTCTGTAGTAAAAGTCTTCATTTGGAGGTCTAACCCAAAGCCTTTAACTCGCATCCTAACAGCATTGCTGAACTGGTCTCCAAACAGAGGGAATGTAAGAGTAGGTACACCATGGTAGACAGCCTCTAGTTGACAATTGTTGCCACCATGTGTGATAAACAAAATGGTCCTGGGATGTCCAAGAATATCATTCTGGGGTAGCCAATTCAAAGGAAGCACATTGTCAGGCACCTTCAAGGTAGTTTCACTGTTTCTCATAATAAATCTCAATTTAGGGAAAACTTTAAACGCATCAAAAAATTTCTTCAAAACACGATCAGGCATTTTTGAGAAAATGCTTCCAAATGTCATTACAACAATCCCATCTTTAGCCCCCTGGATGAAGCTTTCAATATTCTCTGGGAGAGGATGTGGATGGTGTGCTCCCATGCCTCCTACCATCTGATAATGTGGGGCAGTAACTCGTGGATAATCCAGACAAACATCTTGAAGATTGACAAGTACCAACTCAGACTGTTTGTAGAGAAAATCCATGCTGACAGCAGGCTTATTGGGGGCATATTCTGCGATAATACTATTAGGATACAGGACAGCAGGAAGCACATAGAGTGTCATAAATTGGGCAAACGTGTTAATCAATCTCTGTGTAATAGACATGTTATCAGTAAACCAGAAAGCTGGCAATGGTTGAACTGAAGGCAGTCCAGTAACTCCTGAAGCAAGTGGATCATCTGAGGCTGTTAGTGTTATATATGGGATTGAATGTCGGTATGCTAACACATACAAATACCTACAGAACAAAGTACCATCTATAATTGCTAAATTGAATTCAGTAGCATCCATCTGCTGTTTAAGCCCATTGTCACCAAGTACATCTACTTTCTGATTGTCAACAAGGTTTTTTATAGTACTCAGTGTTGTCATTAGAGACACTGGTTCTTTATTTTCTTCGAACACATCATTCTCGATAGCTTTCCTTGAGTCATCACTCTTGTCAGCATTCACACTGTCATATGTGATATAGTTTAATCCATGTTTATCGAGTGTTTTCTTATGACGAGGAGCAATAACAAAAGTGACAGAGTGTCCCTCCTTCACCAAGGTATGGGCTGTCACCACAAAGAAATTCACATGACTGACATGGTCAAAGGGCATCATCACCAAATTCTCGCAGCGGACAAGACAAATGAGTCCAAGTGTCATCAGGAAGTGACTTTGAAGCAACGACATTCTGCACGGTTTCCTGAAAATAGTTCAAATTCAAATAAAATAACAACCTTATAAAAACAGAGCTTAAAGCGCCTCTGAACCATTGCAGTTTGATTAATTTCTGGGAAGAAACTAAAAGATGTTGAGATATGGTATTCATAACCCTACCTATTTTTTAATTTAAAGTCCCCATGTAAAGTCACAGGAGGGGTGTCGTAGAAGGGGTGTCAAACAAGTGACAGTGTTATGGGGGGGGGGTGTTACAAGGGTTGGTGACAAAAAGAAAGGGTGTCAAAGGAGGGGAGCATGTCACAGAGGGTGTGGGTGTCAAACAGGAGGATGGTGTTACAGGGGTTGGTGACAAAAAGAAAGGGGGTCACAGTAGGGGACGATATCACAGAGGGGGTTGTCAAACAAGAAGACCGTGTTACAGTGGAAAGGGTGTTACAGGGAAGTGGCGTAGCGTGGGTATTTTGCGAGTGTATGCCAGGAGTGAGCAAAAAATGAGATTGCATTTGAAACTTTCTGGGGCGTTTTAAAATTTCAACTAATAAAATGTATTATTTTGTTTCTCACATATATATGATCATTGTTATTAAACTACATGCATTCAGAATATCCAGTATTTTAAAAGTGTGGGGCAATTTTATATCAAAATCAACCTTTTCTAGAAAATGATAGAATGATATCTCATAAAAGATTATATGAATCCCTTAAAAGAAATGTTGAAACATGGTTTAATTAAACAGTCTATCAACTTGGACTTTTAAGAGATATTTTTTGTTAAGGTGTAAAAGATTGTAAAACTTTTTTTCACATGCTTCACATTTATTTCTATAAATCAATCGGTTTCATATATAAAAATTGCCATTGTAGACATGACAACATTATCGGCAATTGTAAAACTGTAATGACCTAAATTAACTAAGGATAAGATGATTATTCTAGAAAGGTTTATTGGCAAATTTTCAAATAAACAAGTAGTGTAACAAATTGAACAGGAAAACTTTTACAGAAAGAAATCCATGGAATTTCAAAAAAATTCCTTTCCTTAAATCTGGACAAAGTTTGTTTTGGACAAAATAACACGGTACATTTTTTCAATGACTGTAAATATTTATTGGATAAGCTTTTGTAGGTTACAAATGATGATGTTTAATTTGGCAATCCTTATTTGTCTAAAATGATATGTAAACAGATTAATTACCTAAATCAATGCATGACTATGATGGTGATGATGATGATGATGATAGTAAACAGAATTAAATATCCATTCATAAAAGTATAAATTCTCATTGATCCTGTAAGAGTGAAGAATGATTCACTAAACTAATTAATCTAATTAATAAAACTATATTCTAGTATACATCTGTATTAACTAGACAATGGCAACTCCACGGAGTAGCAAATCCCAACGAACAAAATATCAATTACCGAATTCCAATCAATTATACTCATTACTTTGGTTAAAATTGAAAAATTTAGATTTTAGAATTGCGAATTCCTGCAAAGCAGCCATTTTGAATTTTCTGAGGTACAAATCTGAAGAATAATACCATAATTGTGATCTACTCCAAAATTCCTTCAATTTGAGTATAATATAGTCATACTTTGAATTGAAGGGATCGAAAAATTTTTGCGAAATCGTACATTAGACGGCTATTTTGAATTTTACGAGGCTCGAATCAGAAAAAAGATACAATATTTGCAATCTACTCTTAATTGCCTTTCCTTTGAGTATAATAAAACTATACTTCAGAAAGATCTAAAAATTAGCGAAAATTACTGTTTTCCTGACCCCCCATACACGGCCCCTGGGGGTCAGGATGAAAAACACGGAATATGTGTGAAATAGATAGATGTTGTGAATATACTACCAAAATTTCAAACAATAATATTAATCACTTTGGTTTGGAATGAAAAATTTATGGTTTTTGCGAAAAAGTCCCGTCATTTTTAAAGCGGCGGCCATCTTGAAATTTTTTTATTGCGTACAACTATTCACCAATATACATCTTTCCACTAAATATGAAGAAAATCCGTCAACTCATATTTGAGTTATCTTCCGGGCGGATGGACGGATGGACGGACGGACTGACTGACGGACGGATGGACGGAGGGCTTCACTATATCCCTACCGAACTTCGTTCGTTGGGATAATTATCTATAACTAGACAACAGCAACGCCAAAGCATAGCAAATCCCATCGAACAGCCATGGCTGGCATTTTTACAAACAAAGTATACAGCAAAATGGCAGCCATTTTTCAAAATGACCACCTTAACATGTAAACCTATGAGGTCCTTAACTTTTTTTGAGGAGTATATGAACAGAATCGCTCCACTACTTTTCGAGTTATAGTAAAATAGGATAAAATGGTGGCCATTTTGAAAAATGGCTGCCTTCTACCAAAAGTGTCATAAGACAGTGTGCTATGATTATAGTATTCACATACCAAATATGAACAAAATTGCTCCGCTACTTTTCTAGTTAAAGTAAAATACATTAAAATGGCAGCCATTTTTCAAAATGGCCGCCTTCTACCAAAAGTGTCATTAGAGAGTGTGCCATGCTAATAGTATTCATATACTGATATACCAAATATGAAAAAAATTGCTCCACTACTTTTCGAGTTATAGTAAAATGCATTAAAATGGCGGCCATTTTGAAAAATGGACGTACGGACAGACGGATGGATGGAGGCGTTCCCTATATCCCTCCGAACTTCCTTCGATGGGATAAAAATGCATCTGTGCATTAATGTTCTTTTCTAAACATATCTTATATTATGGACATCCAAAAATGAAAGGAAACTCTTACTTAACTTATTTATTTATTTCACTTTCACTTTTAACATGTAGCAAATGGTGATAAATAAAATAAATAAAAAAAATTATGTCATTAACTAACCATATTCCTCTAGCTTGAATCAAGGAAAAATTCATAATATATTGTTTAACAATTTATTACTTTACAATTTAGGAAGAAATTGCCTAAAAATGCGGAGGTAACCTTGAAGTTCCCTTTCTATTTTTTTCATGTCCATGATATTATCGAATAATGTGATCCCTGATGTAACTTGGAACTGATTGTCTTCAAACCTTAGTCTGGACTGAATGAAATATCTATAATATCAGTAAGGTATTATTAGCCAAAATGAAAAGTTACTCGGACTTAATTTTTTTTCTACCCGATCTACAGCAAGACTTAGATATAACCATCCTACAGCAACAAGTTAGTAACAGTGACACAATGCCCAATCCCAGCATCATAATACACATAACATCCAGGAGAAGTAGCTGGTATAAAGGCATGTCAATGGAATGAGACTTGAGATGGTCAGAACCATACTTCAATACATGCCTCACCCAGTGTGCAACTTTCTCTTGGGCAGGCGTTTGCTCTTTTACAATTGCAGAACAGCGCTTGATCTTATTCCTGTAAGTGTCATTTGTTGTGAGTTCTATCAAATTTTGTGTAAGGCTTTCTGTAGTAAATGTCTTCATTTGGAGGTCTAACCCAAAGCCTTTAACTCGCATCCTTACAGCATTGCTGAACTGGTCTCCAAACAGAGGGAATGTAAGAGTAGGTACACCATGGTAGACAGCCTCGAGTTGACCATTATTGCCACCATGTGAGATAAACAAAATGGTCTTGGGATGTCCAAGAATATCATTCTGGGGTAGCCAATTCAAAGGAAGCACATTGTCAGGCACCTTCAAGGTAGTTTCACTGTTTCTCATAATAAATCTCAATTTAGGGAAAACTTTAAACGCATCAAAAAATTTCTTCAAAACACGATCAGGCATTTTTGAGAAAATGCTTCCAAATGTCATGATAACAATCCCATCTTTAGCCCCCTGGATGAAGCTTTCAATATTCTCTGGAAGGGGATGTGGATGGTGTGCTCCCATGCCTCCTACCATCTGATAATGTGGGGCAGTAACTCGTGGATAATCCAGACAAACATCTTGCAGATTGACAAGTACCAACTCAGACTGTTTGTAGAGAAAATCCATGCTAACAGCAGGCTTATTGGGGGCATATTCTGTGATAATACTATTAGGATACAGGACAGCAGGAAGCACATTGAGCGCCATGAATTGGGCAAACGTGTTAATCACTCTCTGTGTAACAGACATGTTATCAGTAAACCAGAAAGCTGGCAATGGTTGAACTGAAGGCAGTCCAGTAACTCCTGAAGCAAGTGGATCATCTGAGGCTGTTAGTGTTATATATGGGATTGAATGTCGGTATGCTAACACATACAAATACCTACAGAACAAAGTACCATCTATAATTGCTAAATTGAATTCAGTAGCATCCATCTGCTGTTTAAGCCCCTTGTCACCAAGTACATCTACTTTCTGATTGTCAACAAGGTTTTTTATAGTACTTAGTGTTGTCATTAGAGACACTGGTTCTTTATTTTCTTCAAACACATCATTCTCGATAGCTTTCCTTGAGTCATCACTCTTGTCACCATTCACACTGTCATATGTGATATAGTTTAATCCATGTTTATCGAGTGTTTTCTTATGACGAGGAGCAATAACAAAAGTGACAGAGTGCCCCTCCTTCACCAAGGTATGGGCTGTCACCACAAAGAAATTCACATGACTGACATGGTCAAAGGGCATCATCACCAGATTCTCGCAGCGGACAAGACAAATGAGTCCAAGTGTCATCAGGAGGTGACTTTGAAGCAACGACATTCTGCACAGTTTCCTGAAAATAGTTCAAATTCAAATAAAAGAACAACCTTATAAAAACAGAGCTTAAAGCGCCTCTGAACCATTGCAGTTTGATTAATTTCTGGAAAGAAACTAAAAGATGTTGAGATATGGTATTCATAACCCTACCTATTCTTTAATTTAAAGTCCCCATGTAAAGTCACAGGAGGGGTGTCATAGAAGGGGTGTCAAACAAGTGACAGTGTTATGGGGGGGGGGGGTGTTACAAGGGTTGGTGACAAAAAGAAAGGGTGTCAAAGGAGGGGAGCATGTCACAGAGGGTGCGGGTGTCAAACAGGAGGATGGTGTTACAGGAGTTGGTGACAAAAAGAAAGGGGGTCACAGTAGGGGAGGATATCACAGAGGGGGGTGTCAAACAAGAAGACCGTGTTACAGGGGGAAGGGTGTTACAGGGAAGTGGCGTAGCGTG